ACAATGTGTTGGAGCACAAATTTACATGCAACAAAAACCTATACAACACACTGCAGGGAAGGCAAACCCCAAAGAGCATAATAGGGTCTCCATGAAGTTTGTGATTTCAGAATGAGCTTGAAACTAAAAAACAGGCAAAAAACGCTTTAAAGACAATCTAGATACTATCACTAATTACACTTACATCATGCCCCTTTCACACCGGCGCTTTTCCAGCTCCTGCTCGGAGCTGGAAAAGCGCCGTTTTTTCCTGTTCACACCGCAGCGGCGGCGCGTCATAGCTCCGGAATGCGGTTCACTTCCAGCTCCAAAAAATTGTCGGTCCAGAGGCAAGAGCTTCGGAGCTATGACGCGGCGTGTCTTACGTCGAGGCGTGCAGGAAACCTTACTTTGACCATCCGTTCGCTGTTATTGATCATTGTGGAGAGCAGGCAGACGTTTTGTTTGTTATTATAGCAGCTATCGGATGGAATTAATACATGGGCTGCACAGGTTGTCATGTCCGACTATCACAAGTAGAATCATAATGAAAAATACGCCGGTAAAATGTGCCTGTAGAAAACGGCTTAGCAAGTAGTCAGTTTAGCTTCGGTTGCTATGCTAACATCACCCATGTTATACCAGAGAAACTTTCATAACAGCGTTGTGATGCCAAACAGCGTCAATTCAGACTGACACACATTCACTTAAGGGGAACTGGGGATATGAATCAGCTGCTTGTGTGACAGTCAGACAGTGAATACTTTAGAGCCGTGTGAGCTAACCCGGAGCTAACGGGAGAATAAACTCCTGTGGAAGAGCAGCAGCACTGCAGCGGTCGGTAAATGCCGCTGAAACACATTAATAAACAATGAACCACGGCACTCTGGAGAAACGTATAAGGTTGGAGAAGTCGTTATTTAATTTAATCTGGCTTCGTATGATTAAAAGCAACACGATCATTGACCCGACGCATTCCCCGGCCGTTGTTGTTGTGGGAAAAAAATCAGCGACGTAAACTGTGACGTCATGACGCAGCAGTGGATGGAAAACTTTTGTCACAAATAGGCCTCACTGTGATTTTGAGGTTTTACAATAAAACACCTCTTTAAAATAACTAAACGCAGATAAATAGAGGTCTGTAAATTAAGTAAAAGTGTCTCAATCAGAGAGTAGCAGGTCTAAATTACCTTCCACCACTTGAATATCAATAGTGTCTGAGAAAACACATGATAATGTACATATACTGTGTACATACATGATGTATTATCATCACTTTTATTTTCATTCATGACTTTGTAAATCTCAAGTTTGAACACGTAGGAAACAAGTCTGGTTTATTCCACCGATGTATGCATGTACTTCGTTTTATTATAAGTTAAATGAAACAGTTATTTATGAAAAGCGTGCATCAGGCTGCAGTGGGTTAGTTCCTCCACAAGAGGGCGGCCTCAGCTCTCTCTCATTTTCTACAGACTCTGGTTTTGGGTTCATATCATCTTCTCAAACACAACTAAACTGCACATCTTTACTTTCAATCATTTACATCCATTTGGGAACCATATCACTTCCACAAGACCTTTACATCATGCATTAATAAACAGTTTGACCAACTTCTGCAGGTCCATATTAAGAGAAGATAAGATAAGATAAAATGAGATGGACCTTTATTAATCCCCGTGGGGAAACTCAGTAGTTTAACAGCAACAGGGTAAGAATGAAAAACAGGAGATTCACACAGATGAATACGATTAAGGATAAAAATGTAAAATGATAAAATAACTATAAAATAAGAAATGAATTCAAATGAACATATACACATGGGTACATATTATTTACATGTGTGTGAAAACAGTGTGTATTTTATGTCCAGTAATTGTGCCATTGTAGAACTTGTTTTATATATAGTTGGTATACTATTTTTTGAATAATTTTATTATAAAATCTATTTTTTGGGAATAGGGAGTACATTAATCCTTGGTTTTTCTCTGGTAAGAAATATACATTCAGTCTTTTTGTATTTGTTTTATTTTACAATTATTGCTAAAATGAGTTAAACATTTCACTGTGCACATGTTTGAAATACTTCAGCAGCGTGTAAGAGCCATTTGACAATGTGTGCCCGACAATAGTAGAGAAACCACCCCCCCCCTAAAAAACCCCACCCTCCAAGGATGTGGAGCTAATGTCACCCCATCGGACCACAAACGGTGTAACTGTGTGTGTTGATGGATCCATAACATTGTGCGACCTGTTTCCATACTCAATCAATAAAGTACTTCTTATCATACATTGTGGGGACTCCAAACACTGGGTAGTCATAATAGAAACCAATTTAATACATACTTTTTTTGTAATATTGAATGTACCGTCTAATGACACCCTTTAAAGGATATGAGAGAGTGAGTGTGTGTGTGTGTGTGTGCTTGTGCGTTCTCTCAGCTCTGCAACGCCGCCCCCCACGAGCTGGAGCCCATCGTGGGTCAGGCTGCAGCTCAGCAAATCCACAGCTTCTTCCACAAACCCACTGCTGCTGGAACCTGAGCTCTCTGAGTCTGGGGTCTGATTTTCTGGTGTTTTGCTCAGTAAGGACATATGAAGCTCATTTTCAGGTTCATATATGTATTTAGTTTCTCTGCTGTGACGTGTTTCTAGGCTTTAATGTTCAAAAAGGTCTTATTTCATGTTAAACCCCAATATAATTCAACATGAACCCTCCTTTATTGTAAGATCACACGATAAATAATATAATACAACTGCTACCCTGCTGCTAATTTTGTTTATTAGATTCTTTTCATTTAAACCTGTTTAACTATGGTTCTAGCCTTGAATGACCCTTTACTGTGATCAAACCAGCCTAATGGGGTCCTATATTATGGTCATTTTCAGGTTCATATATGTATTTGGTGGCTCCACTGTGACATGTTTCCATGCTTTAATGTTCAAAAAGCTCTTCATTCTTCCCAGTCTTCTCTTATTGGTTAGCTGGCCGGCTCTGTTGTGATTTGGCAACGGCTTAGGTATGTCCCGCCCCTTATCACGTACAATGTGTTGGAGCGCAAATTTACATGCAACAAAAACCTGTACAACACACTGCAGGGAAGGCAAACCCCAAAAAGCATAATAGGGTCTCCATGAAGTTTGTGATTTCAGAATGAGGTTGAAACTAAAAAACCTTTGTTCCTGTAAACTGTTTCAGCAGACTGTCCAGTTATTATACACAGCAACATGATCATACACTACCTACCATCTCAGATTTAAAAGGGTATTTGAGTTCTCTGAGAATAGCTGATGGGGGTTTTTCAGATGTTGTCAAACACATGCAGTGTTGTAGTCAAGTCACCAATTCACGAGTCCAAGTCACTCTCGAGTCACCACTCTTCGAGTCCGAGTCCAAGTCCGAGTCACCAAGGGAGAGTCGTAGTCGAGTCCGAGTCCAAGTCCGAGTCACCCAAGGAATGTCCGAGTCGAGTCCGAGTCCGAGTCATCATTACCTGTGTTCGAGTCCGAGTCCAAGTCCGAGTCACCCAAGGAGTGTCCGAGTCAAGTCCGAGTCCGAGTCATCATTACCTGTGTTCGAGTCCGAGTCCGAGTCACCTAAGAAGAGTCCAAGTCAAGTCCGAGTCACAAGTCTTCATGTATTAATCTTCATGGATATATGTGTTGAAATGTAGCTGCTCCTCTACATTGCTTTTATCCTGTCAATGTTATACTAATCTGTCTATTGAACTGCTGTGAAGCCAGTTTGGCTACAATTCTTGTAATAGGTGCTATACAAATATAAAGCTTATTACTAATATTAATATTATTATTATATATAAACTATGTTTAAAATGAGTTACCTTTTAGAGAAGTGATTATATTTGTATGCCAATATTTTCCTATGGTAAAGTTTTCGTTTTGCACTTTTATTTTGATAGTAATAAGATCGGGACTCTTATTTTGAAGGAACTTTTACCGGTTAAATCGGTTTACTGATAAAGATTTAGCCCCAGAAAGCACATGGCTACTTAGCATGCAAAATGACGTCATTCTGCATGTTAAGTAGCCATATGCTTTCGTGTTATCGGCTGAATCTTTATGTATTGATTAGATGACGTTACTCTGATGATAGTGTTCAAGACAGCCTATATGTCTGAACTCGATGTTTAGAGTAATGTGTTACGGAGCCTTCTCTTCAATATTGTTTCCACATAGAGCATTTTGCGCTGCTCTTTTCCAATGTGGAAGCAGAATGTGTGAAAGCATACAGCACGATGCGGGGTGTGTCTCTAGACATCTTTAGACTGGAATAGCGGGGCCCAGTACGTGAACTCGCCTCGCAGCCGGTGCACACGCCAGGATAGAGGACATCAGACTCCATAGAAAACTTGCTCGAGTCCGAGTCCGAGTCCAAGTCGGAGCGTCAATGTACAAGTCGAGTCCGAGTCATCATGGGGGGAAAAATTCACGAGTCCGAGTCCGAGTCCAAGTCAGCGTACGCGATAATTCACGAGTCCGAGTCCGAGTCCGAGTCCAAGTCATCGTGCGCGAGAATTCACGAGTCCAAGTCCGAGTCGCGTCAATCAGTGCGGGAGTCCGAGTCGAGTCACGAGTCCCGAAAATCGGCACTCGAGTCCGAGTCCAGGACTCGAGTACTCCATCTCTGAACACATGAACTGCTTTTTTCACTTGATTCCAAATAAATACAATAAAGTTTAATCAGAATGTATTTTTATTTCTTAAAAGAAAAGAATACAATTAAAAAACTTTTGTGTTTTTCAAAAAATGCTGTTTTGCTAAATATTCATTTAAACAAGGATAAGACAAATACTGTTGTCTCTGAAACATAGACATTCATGAAAGTACAAACGCTTGTATGTCGTACGTTGGATTTTACAGTCTTGAAGGAAGTTGATACAGTTTAAAAGATTTTAAGAGATCATTTGAATCATCGCAGTTGATTGGTTTCATGTTGTTTGTAACAATGTGACACATCAAAGAAAAAACATTAACAGAAAAGAAAATGTATTTTTTATAAAAAATCTGGTATAACAATGTAGAGAGGGGGCATCCCCCCAAAAGACATACATTTATCACATGAAATGATAGCGAACCCCGTGTGAAACATCAAATGGTTGTTCTACTCAGTGTGATTGACAGGAGAGATGATCAGAGGGCCAGAGTGTTTACCACCATCGTTAAGACCAGTACTAAATAATGGGTAGAGTTTCTCTTTGAAGCAGCAGCCAGTGAAGGAGTAGATCAGAGCTGCAGCATCAACATCATAAAAGGAGACCAGACCCTCCTCATAATCCACAAACACCCCCACCTTCTGAGGCTGAGACTTCAGAGAGAGACGGACTGCAGGACCAGCACAAGCTTTGTACTCATTTTCATTCCTCAACACTATCACCCAGTAACCATTCTGAGGAGACGGTGAGATCTCTCCCTTCCTGTTGATCGACTCTCTGGCCACTCCTAAATACCACTCAGTCTTCCCTTTAACCTGAACCTCGCAATAAAATCTTCCTGAAGAGATACTCTGCTTTGCTAAAACACAAGAACACAAATCAAATCTCTCTGGATTGTCTGGGAGATTCTTGCTCACATCACCAAGTTTAACTTGTTTTCCATCATCAGACAGGATGAGTTTGGGAAGTGCTGTATCAGGATCAAGAGTCACCTCCACCTCATACTGCTGGACCCTCTTCAGCTCCACCTCTGAGAGCAGCTTCTTCATCTGTTTACTGAGCGTCTCCAGCTGAGTCACAGCTCTCACCACAGTCCCCTCATATGAAGGTGGACGGACCCTGACTTCTGTCCAGTTCTTGGTGGGTGGAGCAGCGTTCAGGGACGTGAAGCTTTGGAGGAGGTGGAGCTGGTCTTCAGAGCGTGAGAGCTGCTCCACCTCAGAGCTTCTCTTCTTCAGCTCAGAGATTTCCTGTTCCAGCTCTTTGATGAAGCCTTCAGCCTGTTCCTCTGTCTCTCTCTGCTTCTCTTTGATGGTGTCGATGAGCTCGGCCTGGCTTCTCTCAACAGACTCCTTCAGAGCGGTGAAGACCTGAACACCATCTGCTATCTCTCTGTCTGCTCCTTCCTTACTGAGCTGCACTGAGAGATTCATCTCCTGAATCTTCAGTCGTCTCTTCTGGATCATCTGCTGAATGTCAGCGTCTGTCTTCCCCAGCTCAGCCTTCTTTCCTTCATATCCTTCTTTCAGAGGAACAACATCATGTGTCTTGTGGTCTGAAACAGTGCAGAGCATGCAGACACACACCTGGTCGGTCTTACAGAACAGCTCCAGCAGTTTATCGTGCTTCACACACATCCTGCCTTCCAGGTTCTCCTCAGGGTCGATCAGCTGATGTTTCTTCAGGCCTGGCCTTGTCAGGTGAGGCTCCAGGTGAGTCTCACAGTAGGACTCCAGACACACCAGGCAGGACTTCAGGGCCTTCAGTCTGGTTCCAGTGCAGGCGTCACAGGGAACTTCTCCTGGTTTGACAACTTGTTGCTCTGAGCTGCTGCTGCTGGCTTTCTGTTGAGCTGGCTGTCTGAACTGAGCAGCCATCTCAGAGATGAAAGTGTTGACCTGCAGATCAGGCTTTATGTTGAATACCTTTTTGCAGTTGGGACACTGACTCGGGACTTTAGTATCCCAGTGTTCAGAGATGCAGGCTTTACAGAAGTTGTGTCCACATGATGTGCTGACTGGATCAGTGAACACATCCAGACAGATGGAGCACAGAAACTGATCTTCAGTCAGCAGACAGCTGGCAGCAGACATGTCTGTAAGAACAAACAAGGTTTTAACTAAATGTAGTAGAGAATACGGTATGCATACTGGATGTAAAAAGCTGACACGAAAGTTCACGGCTTGCTTTAAAAGTTAAATACTATCCTTAAAGTGTTAAACATGTAGATATTTGTACAGTTTGAATAAATGTCCTGCTATAACTCTGTGGCCCATAAACAACACATGACCACAACTCAATTATATTATTTGAAAAGCCTAATCCATCAGAATATATGTAATCATAGCCTCTGATCTACCAGTCACTTAAATGACTGAAGCATGTGGCTATTAGCCGCTTGTTAGTTATTCAAAGAGAAGGACCACATGGATGTTAGCCTCTGCAGACCATTTACATGCACAGAAACCTATAGAACACTACAGGAAAGGGAAAACCCCTAAAAGAATAATAGCGCTTCTTAAAAAATCTCCCTGAGAGGAATTCCTGAGGTTTTGAGTTTATACCTGATGTTGAAACATTGTCAATTATCAGCTTTGCTGCTTGTGGTAGAAATTCGAATTCCCTTCAGAGAAACTGATAAATGAGTCATGTAGAAAGTTTGTCTTTTGTTGTATTTAACAAAGTAAAATACGATCTAAAATGCAGGAACAGAGCAACTTCATCCTCAGAGGATAAAGAGGGTCTAATCCTACCCATAAATTCTGTTAGACATTATCTAAACATTCCCACCACCACACCATAAAACCTCCCAGTCCTTAGCCATTTGCAAATCCACCTTTTGCCCTCTGAAATGTAAAACCTAAACATCAGCGACGTGCAGTCAGGGGAGGCAGAGCCTCACCTGTCATACTCCAATGTCACGGAAAAACAACTAAAGAAAAACTAAATAGTAATAATAATAAAATGTCTCCACTGATCTGTGTTGTAAGTGTGATTTCTGTATGATTCCAATCGCTTTTTATAGTCAAAATCAGCAAATTTGTCGAGCTCCGCTACAACTACATGGGAGCGATGAGGAGTGAGGCAGGGACGAGCTCTGCCTCACGTAAGCCCACAGTAACTGGCTGGAGCACGGGCACTAATGTAGGGCGGGCACTTATTTTGTGAGCGCGCTCAAGCCCGTTACTGTGGGGTAAGGTGAGGCACAGATGAGCTCTGCCTCACCTCAGAATGCGTCACCCCACAGAAACTGGCTGGAAAGCGGGCACTAAGCGCATGCCTGTTACCATCTCACTGCAGGTCACCAATGTAATGTTTGTAGATCCCTTTACTACATTTATCCTCGCCATCCATAGTCTCTAAATAACTTATTTCACGTATATATGATATTTAGGCCCGCTGGTCTCATCATACAACGGCAATGAAAAAAGCACCAGGAGAGGCAGTCATAACCTCTGAAGGGGGCGCACCTGAGCCCACAGGTTCTTGTTGCTACTGTAATTTCACGCAGAGACGGTAGACGCAAACAACAAACTAGACTTTTGAAACTAGAGGGAGATAAGGAGGACTTTTACAAAAAAGTAATGGAGATTGTTGTCCAGAAGGATAGCATGGACTTCATCTTCAAGTCAAGGTAAGACACGACGCTGAAGTTGGCTTCCGATTCAGAGCTTCCGATTCGGCAGTTAAGGGGAAAGTTAAGGGAAATGTAATTTACAGCGCTGAGCGAACAATCCTCCGTGTTTGAACCTCTTAAATCGATGCATAGCCGATTTATTTGGACTGGATTATCCCAGAGAGGCTAAACATTCTTTATAACACAGTTTCAGATTTGTGAAACCTTAATTCTATTTGTGAAAATACAAAAAAAAGAGAGATTTCAGTGCTTTTTTGCATCCTGGCCACATTAGACCAGGTCCTGATCTAAAAATCTAAAAATGTTTGGTTTTTGTGACCAGTTGGACTCATTAAGGCCATTGTTTCCCTTCATAAGTGCAACTACGGAAGTGGATTGGAGTCTTTCAGAGCCTGTCACAGTTCCAGATCATACCAGTGTAAAGCTATATGTACATTAGTAATCATAGATTTTATATGTCAAAAAAAGTATAAACAGCATGCAACAATATCAAAACTTGCTAAACATGCTCACTTTATTATATTTGTGTTGCAAAGGTCATGCCACAGTCTGATAAGCATAACTTGTTTAAGAATTCAAAATGCAGCCCCCACTTCAATCAATAAAGCATTCCAAATATATATATCATGTGCAGTGCTCATTAGTAGCCGTCATCCCATGCAGTTTAAATATACTGGGACCCCAGCAAGGCAGCGTTACACTGGTGAGTACATGTGAAAGGATTTCAGGAGCCTTTTGCTTTATTTACATTATTTTAGTGGTTTGAGTAAGACTACTTTTTAGAAATTCTAACAATGTATTTTTGAAAATGTATGAAACAAAAAAAAGTCTCCATACCTATTAAATAACAAACTAACTTTCTACAAATAAATTCAAGATGTTTTTTAAGATAGACTATATACATGTTCTGAAGCCACTGTGGCCTCAGGATGCTTCCAACACAACATTCAATAGCTTTAGCCAACGAGCTGCTGGGTCAGGTGAGGCTGCAGCAGCTCTGTGCCCTGATGTGAGCTATCATCTGTCTTTTGGAGTATGTGGTGTTATAAGGCTCTGTGCCTGTTAGCATGTTAGCCTAGCTCCTGCTGGGTGACAGACCCTGCAGTTTGTGATGGACTCTTACCGCTGATGCACTGGCAGAAAGAACATAATTGCGAGACCTGGTCTCCTGAAAAGCAGGTGCAGCCTACAAACAAGAGCAGGGAGGAGGAGACACATGTTGGCACAGTCATGCATTACAATCATAAAGCAGAACAACTAAAACAGTTGGCCAAAAGCAAAGCTGGATCATTTATTAATTGCTGTTAAAGCATAAACAGTTAGAATGCTTTAGTACGTTTTGCTTGAACTTTAATAAAATGATCCTGTGAGGATAATAAGTTAATTTGAAGCAGACTCTGTGTCAGGGTAGGGGAAAAATAGGACCCAAATGCAGTAAAAGGACTAAAAGGTCAGGTAACAAAAAGCGAGCTTTATTTCCCAAAGCTGAATGACAAAAGAAAACAAGGAACAACTTAACATTCCAAAACCGGGGGAGTACGAGGAAGGATCAGGACAAAAAACCTCAGGAACAAACATGTAGCGTGACAGGTAGCATGGACAAGAGCAAAGAGACTAACAGGTATCATAGACGAGAAACGACGACGAACAGACATGGAGCACAGGGGAAGACAAGACAATGCGAAAAAAGCACTGAAATCTCCCTTTTTTGTATTTTCACAAATAGAATTAAGGTTTCACAAATCTGAAACCGTGTTATAAAGAATGTTTAGCCTCTCTGGGATAATCCAGTCCAAATAAATCGGCTATGCAGCGATTTAAGAGGTTCAAACGCGGAGGATTGTTCGCTCAGCGCTGTAAATTAAATTTCCCTTAACTGCCGAATCGGAAGCTCTGAATCGGAAGCCAACTTCAGCGTCGTAGGTAAGACCACAATTGTAATGAACATGGGATCTTACTAAGAAAGAACAATCCAATATTTAGATTTTGGGTATCCTTTTGTTGAACGGTCTGTTTAAAATGAATCGAAGCATCAGACTAAAAAAGCTTTTGAAAATAACCGATTATTTCGATTAAGGTCAAAATATAATATTTGTAAATCTGACTCTGAAAGAGTCAGTGCCTCACCAGCCATGAACCTCACCGCACGTCACTGCTAAACATATATATATATATACATATATAGATCTTTTAAAACACGTATGAGACTAAGAAAACAATTTAAAAGAGTAAAAGCCAATCAGAGTATAAGACATATATATGATGATGAATGATTATATGACACTTTGACAACACTGCTTTAAAAAGACAGACAGCAGTAACTACAGAGAAGTTGAGAAAGAAAGGGTTATAAGTGAACGGCTGCTGACCAAAGTGTATAACAGATAAATAAGTTGTACAATGTAAATGTCGTGCCCTTACAGACTACACAAAAGAGACCAAACAATCTGAGCTAGGCTAGTTAGCTGTTAGCAGGCCTGGGCTAACTGCTGTTCCGGTTCTTTGTCTCATGTTTACTGAGGCGTTGTGTCTCTGTAGTGCACTCACCAGTGTTTGCAGAGGTTCTGCTGTGTTGTTGAGAAGAAGCTGCTGGATTATATATGAATAATAACAAATAACTAAAAACCTAAAATAATTTGTATTTATCATTCTTTCTGTATCACAGGCTCGCGGCTAGCATGGCATCAAAGCTGTATCATGGCTACCTCCTTAACTAGCTAGCTACAAATCAAATGTCTACCCCTGCAGTACATACTGATTTTATTTTTACACAAGCCGACGTACCTCTGTATTTGGCTCTCGTTTCCTCCTGTTCTTTTTTCCGTTTCCTTGCCGTTGCATCTGAAGGCTTGGACCTCTTCATAATGATACTATTTTGCCTCTTGTTGTTGCGATCGTTGCGATCGTTGCGACCTCCGACACTTTCAGCTGGAGCTGCCGCGTCACTTTGGCTGTGAGCCGCGGTCCGTGGGTGCCTGATAAGCGACCATCCCCCACTTTCATCACTTTTACCCCGGGATTCCATTGGGTCCGTCTGCGCCGCGTCACGGTTGCGCCGCGGTTTTGGTCCGACCTCCTCCAGCGTCATAACCCACCGTGCGCGTTTCAGAAGCGTTTCAGAAGCAGAGCATCTTGCGTGCCGGCAGTTTTTGTTGATTTGGGCATATTTCCTGGACAGGCTACTTTGTGCAGACAAAGTTAATAATAATTGTAATATTCCAGTTATAAACGACATGAATCAAAGATGTGTTGCTGTATTTTAGTGGTAAAAAAATGCATTCATCATCATAATTATTCTACATATATAATTTGCACAGTGCCTGTAAACCGGAGGAGAACGCTGGCATTTCTCCTCCTTGAAAGACTACGGAGGGATAGGGTCTGCAAATTAGTTTATTTTGGGGATTGACTGGATGCTCTGACCGGTCCACTTCCTGCCCAGCGCTATGCAATGCCTCGCGTCGCGTCGAAAATAGACTTCAAGGTTCAAGGTTCTTTATTGTCAAACTAACATAGCTACAGAGTAATTATGTCGTTGAAAATCTTAGATCACAGGCTTCTCCAACAATGCAACACAATAATACAGATAAGCAGACAATATTAAAACAATATTAAAATATACTATATTAAAAGTAATACAAAAAGAAAAATAGTTTCACGTTATCATGAAATTAATATCTATATCTTTTTTACTATACTTGCACTGCTTACCGTTTTCATACTTTCTATATCTTAGCATATTCATACACACTGTTAATACTGTTCATACTGCTCATAGGCTACTGTGTATATCTGTACTCATAGCTGGTTAGACTTCCAGAGAAAAGTACTTCAAACTGCACTGGAGTGCAACTATCTGGAACTATATCAAAGACAAATACACACCCGAGGCCGATGAAGATTGTGTCACTGTTTTCGCAAGAAATCTGAAGTGGAGCGTGACAAAATTGTTCACTTTTCATTGTTCAGAATCAACAATCATTAATCTGATTTTCCAAGGTACAAGATCTGAGTACTTCTACTTTTACTCAAGTACAAGACCTGAGTACTTCAAGAACATATATTATGCAACACTTATTTTATCACTTAGTTGACCCTGTATTTGCATGGCCTAATACCATAATTATTGTCTCCCCTTTAGACAACATAACCATCTCAAGATATTCACTCACAGTATGAGGGGTTTGTAGCCCCACAGTTAGCTGCAGTCTAACGGTATTACATATATTTGCCTTGAGTAACATTAAGGACATGTTTGGGTTTTGTGTAGCCTTATAGTCTCCAGTCACACAGGGCCTGTCACTAACTTAGCATTGGACTGAGAAACTGTTTTGTTGACAGTCGATGTGCACATCAGGCTACAATATAGAAAGAAATGTGGCTCATAATGTTCGCTCACTTACTTTCTGCTTCGTCATTCTATACCATACGGGGGGGTTCTGAATAAATCATTGATTTTAGCACATTTCGCTGCCTTTTTTTGTTGCAGGATGGGGGTCCATCCTTCCACAATAATTAACCTTGTCGTCAGTTTCAGTCGGTCCAGTCCACACTAATGTAAACAGCAGCGCGCTAGTCTCGTGAGAAACGGAGAGTGGAACAACCAATCACGTCTTCATTATTCTCCTGAAATTTAAATGTGCACATTCGCCAGTCTGACAGGTGCGTGGTTCTCACTGCGCCTCATACCGGTGCAACTTTGAACACCTTCAATATATGCCGCATTAATGGATTTGGCCTGCAGTCACCGCCCTCATCACATCCCCAACCACAGCCATGGTCTTAGCCGGTCTTGACATAAAATCTCGAGTCCTATAGGTCCGATACAGAGACAATACGAAACCAAATGCAGTCGATTCCGAGACAAGACCAATACCGTTAAAAAGTGGTCTGGAGACCGGTCTCGAGTACAACACCAGCAAATATTCTCATACTAATGATTATTAATTATTATTACCCTCTCTTCTGATACCAATACTGTGCCGATGAGAAAGTGTACCTGGAACACTCTCCAAACTACTGTAGGAGCGGAATCATTAGAAATATATAATATAGGATAATGCTATACAATGCTAACGGAGGCGAGACGTACGTTATTCACGCGCTTATCCACACGTACGTTATTCACGCGCATATCCACACGTACGTTATCAACACGCATATCTAAGATAGCGCTTTCTAAGCTACGCCGCCGCTAAGTGAGCGCATACTTTGAGCACACCTATGGTACGTCGCCGTGACGTCTGACGTCGTCGTGACGTCGCCTGTATTCTACGTCAACCCATTCAAAATTGATGGAGGCATTGGCGCACATTGACACGTCAGTTCTCCCCCGCTCAGTTAGCTTAGTTATCTGTTCTTTGGCACAAATCGCACTCGCTCACTCTCGCTCTACCATACTCACACACACACACACACACACATGCACGCGCCACACCCCTCTCTCTCTTAAAGGGACAGCGATCTCATCTCACTCTGCATGACCCTAATATCATAACACTACCCCCACTCTGGATGGCAATTGCACTCAATTCTAATCCAGCACAGTAAATTACATGACCCTTGCCTAAAATGTATACCGATAAACATTCACATTTGCATTCAGTCCATCTACAAGTGGGCGATAGCAGGGCCGGACTGGGACAATAAAAGTCAGGCCGGGAATTATGCACCCAGCCAGGCCACTACCAGTTTTTTCTGCCATTTTGTTGGATTTATTTGTCAATATTTACAGCGGTGCTGCCCATAGTGATAGCCCTATAGTTTAAATCTACTACCCAATAATAAACATATGGACATGGGCTACTATTTTTAAAAATGTGCAAATGCATATGGGAACCTATCCATGTGAACATATTTTGGGGGTGGACCTCAAATCCTCTAGGTGGGTCCGGGGGCATGCTCCCCTGGTAAGATCTTTTATTTATTTTGGAGTTAAATGCATCCATCTGGTGCACTTTGAGGGGGAAATAAAGAGACTAGATCTATGGAAACACCCATATGAAACATATAAAGTTGTTATCCTGACCTAACCTATGATACATGATAAAATATGTCTTGATTATATTTTGTATTGTTCTGAATCTTCAAAGTTACTAAACTTATCAAATAAATGTAGCGCAGTATAAAGTACACTGAATGGGAGTGGAGCAGTACATTACTTAAGTAAATGTACTTTGTTACTGTGTACCGCTGTTCATTGTTCAAGATTGAAATGTAAATTTGCAAGACGGTTTGCCCCTCTGTTCACATGTAGCCTTTCATACGTGATGGTGGCTCGTTCTCCCATTATCTTCCACAATCTGTCTAGAAGTATGATTTTAGCATCTGAATAGAGCCATCACAATTTGTCTACAATGTGCCTCTCACACTTGACCACACCCCGAACTAATGGCACACACATTCAGGGTATTGTTTTGTGATGAATGTGTGGCGGTGTGGTGCTCGTATAAAATGCTCTGTTTGCTGACAACGCCACCTGGGGGAGTTTCGCCCCCAGGAAATTACTAAAACTAAAGTTATCCAATTTAATAAAAGGCAATCAGGTTCGTTTGAACACCACAGGCAGAGACAGTGTAAAGGATATTACCACAATGGTTATTTTATTTATACATAATTACATTTCTAATAATAAACAATATAATTTCCTAAAGGTTCTCCAGGGAGGAGGGAGAAGGACAGTGCTGGGGCTTACCAAGGCGGCAATTAACAAAACGGGGAGGAAGGGGTCAAATCAAAATCACCCGTGACACTGACTGCACACCAAACAAAACGGACACGTGAAGAACACCACCACCAGGGATTGGGTTTGCCGCCTCAAGCCCACAGCACCTGTCCGGCACAAGAGAAACAGTTAAAAATCAGCAAGATTATAAAACTCGGTTGGAGAAAGATAAACAAAAGGAAAACAAATAAAAATAAACCTAATCTAAATAAACGTAAACAACAAACATGAGTAAACTAATTAAACCAAACGTTAACAAAAGAAAAGAAAATCACACAATTAACAAAATACTATAAATGTACTCAAAACATTAGATGCACAAAACAAACAGATAATCAAAATGAATCAACTAAAACAATAAGTGTCCTTGCTATTCCGTGATCTCAAAACGGCCCTGGTGACAGTCCAACACGGAGTAGTCAGGGCCTGTCAATTTCATGACGCCACAGCTCGGTGCGAAAGCTCGCCGAGCCAAAACAGCAGGAAGGGGGAGGGGGGGATGATGACCAGAGGTGGGGAGAGTGGTTACGGCGCCCCAACTTTTACAGCTAGGCACTGCCACAGAGCCCACCAGGAAGGGAAAATGTTTACGGCACCCCTGGAAAGAGGTTTAAAATGACGTGTGAATACTTAAGTTTATTAAATGAAAAGTTATCTATGGGGGAACTCATACATACCAGCCTGTGTGGCCAGTCGCAGCCACAGAGCCCACAAGGAAGGGAGAGAGAGAGACTCAACAATCCCACGGCCAAATCCCACTGTGACATGAATGACAAGTCAATACACCAGAGGAACCAAGCTGAAGGTGAGAAAACGGCAGACAACGGCAACTCACCAATAGTTGCAACACTGCAAGACCAGGGAGCGGAGCAAATCCTCCTCAAAAGCACCGGGCGTCAGCTGCGCTAAGACAGAGTAGTGTCAAGCCGGGTGTTGCTTGTGCCCATGAATAAATGACAGAATGCAAGATGCTTTACCTGTCTGGTAGAGTGTGTGATGCGCGAGCTGCCACGCCAAACAATATACGCTGCCACGCCATGCAGGCTGCAGCCACAAAGGAGAAGCGGAGGGGGAGGGAGCAGATTTGTCACCTCCACTTAAATAGCAGGTGCGCTGGCATGGTGCCAAGCAGCGTCACAGAGGGAGGAGACATCCAGTCACAAATGCGTAGTAAACAGTTTTAAGAATCCATGGTATTAAATTCAACTAATTTTTAATTTATTTTTAATTTAAAGGCGTGTGGCGCCGTGGGTTAGTGCGTTGGTGATCGGATCAGGGGGATCGGGATCACAGGTTCAAACCCCACTGCGGTCAGCATGTCGTTGTGTCCC